CCTCCCCAGGCCCTCATCCTGGGAAGACCAGGGAGGACAGGACCGCCCCCCCCCGTTGCTGCTAGAAGAGGGAGGGAGGGAGGGGAGGGGCTCAGTCAACCCCCTCCCCCTTTGCAGGTGGGTGGGGTCCTCCTGGAAGGAAAGGGTGTGTGTGGAGGAGGGGTCTCCTGCACTCCCCTGCCTGTTGGCCTCACTCTCAGAGGAGCTGGCTTGACCCCCCCTCCTCACTGCCCCCACCCCACCCCCAGTGGCTGGCTAGGCAGAAGGGAGGCTCTTCCTACCTGTCAGGGACCGGTTGTGGGAGTTTTATTTGCAGCCTGGCCTGCTTTCTGGTTTGAGGAACTGGGAGGGGCATTTTCTGCGCTGGGGTGACATCCATCCATCCATCCTTCCAACCATCCATCGATCCATCCTTCCATCCAGCCATCCATCTATCTATCTATCTATCTATCTATCTATCTATCTATCTCTAATGATCTAATGCTAACCAATAGTTTCTTCTGACTTTTGAAATTCAGAGGGAGACCGACCTCTCGGCTGAGTATTTCATTCCCTCTCTTTCCTGGGTCATTGGAAGTTGGTTGGTTCGCTGTTGATCTGTTTGGTTCATCCTGACATCTGACTTTGAGGATTACTCCACACCGTCTTGTGTCTTCTCAGCCACCCCATCGCCATCAAAGGGAAAACAACCAGCTTTCTTTTCCTTTTTGCCGGAGAGCATGATCAGACACACACACCATCGCCTTTTGCCTCCAGGGCCAGTGTGTCAAGTCTTTGTCTCCTGCACAGAGAAAGAGGGCAGCATCTCCTCCTTCCTGAAAGCCCTAAAAGTGAAAGTGAGGGGAAGCAGGGTCAGCAGGCACAAAAGAAGGCAGAGCCTGTTCCGCTGAGAGGGTCCCTGGCCATCTGACGTGACAGTAAGCTCCAGCCAGTTTTACCCAAGGGACTTGTTCTACTGTACGGTATGGAATTGTGGGTTTTAAAACAGGTTCTTTTAAAATCAGATAAAAGGATTAAAAACCATGTTGCTTCAAGGATGCTAAAAATTTATTAGATTGATGGGGCGACCACTGAAAAAACATGGTAAAACAAATGAATTGAAGGCCATGAAATCATAAAATGTATAACATGCAGAAAAGTAGCACACTTTGGTTACGTAAAGAGAAGCTGAAAGTGCAGATCTGATCAAGGGATAAGGACATGAGGAAAGGAGAACGGCTGGAGAGCAGCGGGAGGAGCTGCTCCGAGGCAGCCCGACAACATTGTTGTGAGCGGGGATTCGCGTGGGCGTGATGATGGCCTCAGATACAGGACAGGAACAAGGGGAAGAAGGTGAGTTGCCTGGAAAGGCAAGCTGGAGGGGGTGGTCGCACTCCCGTACTTCTCGGGGGCTCCCCAGAGGCATCTGGATGGCCCCTCTGATCAAAGGAGGACCCTCACTTGGGTCCGTGCTCTTCTCGTGTGTGGCTTAGGAAGTCGCACTGTGATCTGTGCAAAGGGGTATGGAAATTCCCGTCAGCAGGAGCCCTTTCGGAAGGGACAGAAAGTAGGAAACAACTTCTTTTTTTTTTTTTTTCTGGGAAACTGATCGTCACCTAGTCCCGGGTCATCAGATTGACCTCTGCGTGACCGAGGCTTAAAAAGGGAGTGGAACGAGGAAGACAGAGAACAAAACTGGAGTGAAAGAGATCAAAGGATTGGATGGATGGGGTGTCTCCCAGCACCATCCCCAGTTGGTTATGAGACTCGGGCTCCCAGTTCCTGTTTATCAGATGCCCTCTTCTTCTTCCTCCCCCTCCTCCTTTCGTTTGTGTGCTTGCGTACGTCCTTTGAAAACTGAGCCAGCTCTCTGCTCTTGCCTTCCTTCTGCCCCCCTCCTCTCTGAAGACCTGGGAGTTGGGGCTGGTGCCTCACCTTCTCTGGTGGGTGGCCGTGCCGTGCGTAGGTGGGAATCTGCTTATGCTGGGTGTATGGGTTGCTTTCCAGAGCCTTGGCCAAGGGCCGGTGACAATCAGATAAACAAAGAAACGAAAGGTGCGCCCTCAGAATAAAGCCATCTTTCAAGTCATGTTCTCGGCTCTTGCCCCTCCATGCCCTGTCCATTCAGTGTGTCACCGAGTGCCATCTTCCGTGGCACTGCAGCCTGACCTGTAGCATTCGGACTGCTGCAGGTTAATTGTTGGCCACCCACGTGGACATCCCTATCCTTCAACAGCCAGCAGGGAGCAATGTGTACCTTTGGTATTTCCAAATCCCAGGTGGAGAAAAAAAATGTCCCCCCCCTTTACAGGAAGTCAGATGGTTGTTTTCCTTTTTATGGAGATGGGACGGCTGGGAAGATAGGAGACAGAGGGAAAGAACCTTCGAAGTCAGAGGTCCATGGACAGCACAGACCTGTGGCAGCTTGTAGAGGGAGGCAGGGGGACAGGCGTGGTGGGCTACAGGAGCCAGGAGGGTGAGCAGCCACCCCCCCCCCGGTCACAGAAAAGCAGAGGGAGCCATGTAGAGCCTTAGAAAAGCCTCTCCACTATCAAGGTCTGTTTTCATTATTTACTTGAAGGTATCATATGCGTTCCCTGCTCCTAATGATCCCTCGTGTTTTTTTTTAATTAAGTAGCAATCCAGAGTTTGTTGTTATGCTCCATAAGGTTGCTCCCAACTAAGTACAGTAATCCAGAATTTCCTGCATGTGCTTAAATGCTTGAAGAATCTTTACCACACACTTCTCCAGTGAGTTCCCTTGTTCAGGTAGGAATCTGAACCCAGGTGTCCCGTGTCCTAGTTGACATTCATAATCCATGCCATTCAGGTAGGAGTTGAACCCAGGTGTCCTAGTTGACATTCATAATCCATGCCACACTTTCCATCCAGAGCAATTGAAACCCAAATGGCTACAGATATTCAAGCATTCAACTCAAATCCCACCTATGTGTGAGTTAGGTTGGTGTATTTTTCAAGAGCTGTGTTTGTTTTAGCATAACCGAAAAGAAAGAAGAGTCTTACTGGTATGGTGTACAGAATTTTTCTGATCGACAGAGTCCTGTTCCGGTGGAGAAATGGGTGGGAATCCATGAAAACATGTGATGAGCTGGAATCCTGTTCACAAACACTGTGCATCTGAAATCGATCTGCTGGGCTGGAATCCTGTTCACAAACACTGTGCATAAGAGGGCAACTGGGTGACACTCGTCCCCCTCTGTCGGGCTGGACGTACCCCTGATTTCACAGCCAGCCTCTGGCAGGTTGCCTGAAGGAATCCCTGTGGAGGCAGAGGCGAAGCTTGTGCAATGGCCCTTCTGTGATCATGTGAGTCAACAGGATTCTGGCCTTGGTCTTAAATGCGCTCTGAGGTCTTGTCTGGACGTTCTTCTTTCCCTGTGGGTGCAGGTTCGATGCCTTTGGACGTCCTTCTTTCCCTGTGGGTGCAGGTTCGATGCTTGGCCAGCCTCGCCTGAGATGGCCCGTTGGCCCATGTCCTCAAGCTTCCTAAACTCTGGCTTATCCTTAGCTTGCCTCAGGGCTGGCTGGCTGGCTTATTTATTTGCTTGGAGCTTCTGGCTTCTCCTTAGCTTGCCTCGGGGCTGGCTGGCTTATTTATTTGCTTGGAGCATACACAAAAATGGAAATGCATGCAGACTTTCTATGTAGACCTGGCAGAGCCTGCCTGGGAAGACGGAACTTTTACATCCGGTTTGGTTCTCAGGTCTGTCTCCTGTTTCTGCCACTTCAAAGAGTTTGCAAACAAGTAGAGTTGACCACCCCAACCCTCTCCTTTGTTTATTGCTTGTTCAAAAGTGTCGAAGTACCTACCGAAATGAGCTAGGAAAGCAAGGTGCCTCTCTGGGGCCTGAGGTTATGCAGGTTAGTCTGCAGCCCGTCAGGGAAGCTGCTTATTGTCCAAGATTGTTAGACAAGGAGGCCATTTACAAAAATGGAAAAGTCAACCCTGATGCAAGGGAAAAAAAAAAATCAACTTTGATGTTTGAAATGGAAAAGTCAACCCTGATGCAAGGGATGGTGCTGGAGACCGCATTCTCCCAGCTGACATTTGCAACCTAACTCACACAAGCAGCCTTTGCCCAGACATCTGCTGTGATGAATTTGAGGCATTTGCACCTCACAAGGAAGTGTGGGTCCCTCCCCCCACCAAGAGAGAGACATAGGGTAGGTGGTTCTGCTTCGGTTTCCCAAGGAACCACTGCCGTGAGCCTCCACGCAAATAAAGAAGGGGGGAAACAACCAGCCCCCGTTCTGCAGCCTCCTTCCACCACCAGCAGCTCTCTTCTCTCCAGACGAATCCAAGGATCACTCGGTCTCCTTGGGATCCAGCAGAAGCAAAGTAGAGGGATTGAAAGCCATTCGGTTGAGGTCCTCAGTCAGCTCTGAAACATGACTCCTTTTCCCAAAATGTACAGTGCCCAGACTCCAGGAGTTGTTGCCCAAAAATAAATAAATTAAATAGGTCCCTAGCTGAGGTTTGAGAAAACTTAGTTGGCATCCAAACAGCTTCCTGAAACCCAAGCCTGTGTGCACAAATCAACCCAAGCTTGTCTGCGTAGGTTCCCAGCATGCAGAGGAAAGTGAGTCTCTTACTTTCAAGCTTTGCACCGTCTGGCAAGATTCAAGTTATCTGTATAGACCGAGAGAGAGAGAGAGAGAGAGAGAGAGAGACAACACACACACACACGTCCATAGATGGCACAAGACCTGTTTTTCTGCTTCTCTCAAACACACTCTGCAGCTCAGATAAATTCCTCTAATCTCCCTGGGCAAAGCCTTCCTTCTCCTGGCCTGTCCCCAGAGCCGGCAGGGGGGCCAAACAGAGTTGAGGCTGAAGCTCTTTTCCTCCGCCACCGCCACCCCCCATGCCCCCTCTGGCCATGACAGGTGAGCAGCAGCCCAGGAGGGAGGAAGGAGCCTGCAAAGAAGAAGGAAGCTACCTGAAGCCCTGGGGAGGAGCCGCCTGGGCTCTGGCCCGGTCAGGGAAGAAAGGTGTGTCCCTTACAAGGCAGTCGGGCATATAAGGCGCCCGGTGGCTCCTGCAGGTCCAGCGAGTGTGCCTCTTGCACAGACCAAGGGCAGAAAAGGGCCAGGAGGGGCTTCGGGGGGGGGACCCAGGAGGGCTGCCTTGCCAGTGGCCTCATGGGGAAGAGCCATGCGCGGGACGGCCATCCTCTTCTCAACGAGGGAGAAGATGCGGAGATGGTAAGTCTCCTACTCGCAATCTAACCCACAGGATGCTGGCCGTTGTGTTTTGGCCCAGGGTTTCCACCGGCCTGGAAAGGCTTCCGGCCAATAAGGCTGGCTGGTTTTTGAGGTTGCCCAGGACTCCTGGCGGCATGGGGTGCTCCACACGGACTCAGGCACCGGCCCAGGAGGAAAGCGTCCCATATACAAAGAGTGGATCTCATCCTCTTCAGTCGGTTTCTGGACTAACTATAAAGCCAAAGGGCAATATCTGGTGAAATCTCGCTTGCTCCGCACTGCTTTATGAACGCACCCTGCCTGTTTTGCCTCGGGGCTGCCTCTCGCATTCCTCGCAGTATGAGTTCAGTCTCCCAGCTGTACCAGGCAACCGGGGGGGGGGCATTGTTTCCGCTGCTTTCCTCCTCCTGTGGATCCTTTGCAGGGAGCAAATTGCTCGGGGACCCAGAAGGGCCTTGAAGGGGATCACGGGAGGGGCTGGGGCTGGATGGAGGGACTCAAGACCAGAAGGTGGGTCATCATGAAGATCACCTGAGTGATGCTCCATCTTTTGAATGGGGGAAGTAAGTCATCATGTCATGAAATGGAGGCTTACAACTAGAGATGGGCACGAAGCAGGAAAAGGCCAAATTGCAGCGGTTCGTGATCTACGAACCACAAACCACCCATGAACCCTTTTCCAGTCCATGTCTGGGGGGAGAAGGGGACCCTAACGCCCCTTCCCACTGCCCCCTCACCTCCCTCCCTGGTCCGACCTCTTTTTCCTCCTCCTCCTCTGCCACCACCATCTTCATGCACCAGCCTATCAGCCAAAGCTGGATGGAAAAAAAGTTGGGCACTTGGTTTCGTTAAAGCAGAATGCACGAATCAAACCACAAAGCAGCCCAGTTCATGGGTTTGGTTTTTTTGTGGGTTTTTTTGTTTGCCGTTCAGTTTACGCCTGTCTCTAACCACAACCATAAATACAGCCCAATGGAACTGATTAAAGCATACGACTGATCCCTAGCTAACAAGGGGAGGGGTCTCTCTCTCTCTCTCTCTCTCTCTCTCTCTGTGTGTGTGTGTGTGTGTGTGTGTGTGTGTGCCTCTTCGGAGGAAGGACTTCCCAAAGGTCTCCCCGCCCTTTTGCTGCCTAGCTCAGGTCTTGCAAACTCAAGGCCTTGGCTTCCCTCATACCATGAATCCATCTCATGCTCAGTCTCCCTCTGCTGTCTTTGCCCTCCAAAAAAATGAGACAGCAACTGCAACAGGAAGAAGGATAGATGCCGGGAGCTGCCCCTTGCATGGGGAGAGGGGGGACACTGGTCCCTCCCCTGTTAGTCTCTGACGTGCCCTGGACTCACTTCCAAGAGCGGTGCCTCTTCAGAGGAAGGACTTCCCAAAGGTCTCCCCACCCTTTTGCTGCCTAGCTCAGGTCTTGCAAACTCAAAGCCTTGCTTACAACTAGAGATGGGCACGAAGCAGGAAAAGGCCAAATTGCAGCGGTTCGTGATCTACGAACCACAAACCACCCATGAACCCTTTTCCAGTCCATGCCTGGGGGGAGAAGGGGAACCTAACGCCCCTTCCCACTGTCCCCTCACCTCCCTCCCTGGTCCGGCCTCTTTTTCCTCCTCCTCCTCCTCCTCCTTCTCCTCCTCTGCCATCACCATCTTCATGCACCAGCCTATCAGCCAAAGCAAAATGAAGCGCTGGATGGGAAAAAAAGTTGGGCACTTGGTTTCGTTAAAGCAGAATGCACGAACCAAACCACAAAGCAGCCCAGTTCATGGGTTTGGTTTTTTGTGGGTTTTTTGTTTTGTTTGTCGTTCAGCTTATGCCTGTCTCTAACCACAACCATAAATACAGCCCAATGGAACTGATTAAAGCATACGACTGATCCCTAGCTAACAAGGGGAGGGGTCTCTCTCTCTCTCTCTCTCTCTCTCTCTCTGTGTGTGTGTGTGTGTGTGTGTGTGTGTGTGCCTCTTCGGAGGAAGGACTTCCCAAAGGTCTCCCCGCCCTTTTGCTGCCTAGCTCAGGTCTTGCAAACTCAAGGCCTTGGCTTCCCTCATACCATGAATCCATCTCATGCTCAGTCTCCCTCTGCTGTCTTTGATCTTCTCCACCTTCCTCCCCCCATGGTCTGTTCACAGAAGTCATTATCCCACTGACAGTAGCTGGTCATTAGGCAGTGTTGGAAAAGGGACTTGATGTCTACTGGAAAGATCTGCTGGAGGAGTGTCAGAGTGTCCTTTATCGGTGCCTTGGTGAATAGGGATACTACATCAAAGCTGAACAGTCTGTCCTTGGGGTTGGGTTTTAGGGTGGTGATTTTGTTTATGAAATGTCCTGAGTCTCTCCTTTGGCTAAGACCAAAGGAGGAAACGTTGTCTGGCTGTGTGGCTAAGAACCACAAAGCCAAACAAAAACAAAAATTCAACTAATGCCAAACAAGTTAACTGAAACCTACACTAGACTCCTCGTGCCTCATCATCAACTTATCTGAACGCCAACTCTCCCTGGAAGAAACCTCAGTCTTAGCCAAAGGAGGAAACTTTGCAGTCTCCCCCTTATCATAACAATACACCCACAACAAAAAAACAAGCTGATCACCATAATCACCCAATCTCCTGAAAAGGACAAATGCTGATCCCACAGCTATAAATACTCAACTATCCCACAAAACTACACCAGAGCACAGAGTTCTAACTCCTGTCTTCCGGAGATGCCGGTCACAAAGACTGGCAGAACGTTAGGAAGAACAACCCTCAGAACACGGCCAAACAGCCTGAAAAGCCTACAACAATAAAGTTCTAACTGACAGGTTCAATAAATCATTTTATGAACTTTCATAACCAAGCTTATCACAATCGGTACCTTGGTGAATAGGGATACTATATCAAAGCTGATCAGTCTGTACCTAGGGTTGAGTTTTAGGGTGCTGATCTTGCTTATGAAATGTAGGATGAGGTTTGTCCAATGTGGGTCTGTAGGAGGGTGGCTAGGTATTTGGCTAAGTCATATGTTGGAGAGCCAATGGCACTTACAATGGGACTGAGTGGGATTGAGTCCTTGTGGGTTTTAGGGGGTCCATATAGTCTTGGTGGGAGAGCTTCTGTTGAAGGACGTTGGGATGCAGGGAGGAACTCTTGATCAGCATGTTTATTTGTTTTGTGATTTTGTTGATTGGGTCCCTTTTCAGTTTTCTGTAAGTGGTGGGCTCTAGAAGTTCCCTGATTTTGTCCTTGTGGTCTTCTGTTTGCATAATTACTGTGGTGTTGCCTTTGTTTGGTGGCAGGATGATGATAGGATCTGAGTTTAGGATCCGAGTTAGGGACTTGATAGCATTTGTCTCCTTTCTTGTTATGTTGCTGTTTGGGTTTTTTGCTTTTCATAGGATCCTTGTCACTTCACCTCTTATTTCTTCTGCTTTTCCTTCTGGAAGATGATATAATGCTGATTCCACATTGGCATTGATGTCTTCTACAGGAATTTTACTGGGTGGGACTGCGAAATTTTCTCCTTTGGCTAAGGCCAAAGGAGGAAACGTTGTCTGGCTGTGTGGCTAAGAACCACAAAGCCAAACAAAAACAAAAATTCAATATCCCGCCCATCTGGTATATTCTACCACTCTGGGAGGCTTACAACATAACATAAATAAATCAAAATAGCACAGGAGCATTACAATATTGTTTTTTCATCTCTATGCTTCAAGCTGCTGTATGTATATTCTGCAAAGTTATAGGTTATATATAATTTATTGTAATATGAAGCCAAAAATATTTAGGACTTAAGAACAAAAACACAGAATCCCTTTGAACTGCAGTATAGTTGTACAAATGGCAGAATTCGGCCCAGAGAAAGCGAGGCATGAAAGGGGCACCATCAATACATGGGCAAATAAATCCACCTTGTCCTGGGCACAGACAGGATCTGAGCTGGCAGCAGTGGGCCAAGAAAGAGGTGATTGTGGGAAGCCTGGACACCAAATGGTTCACTGGGCACAATTTGGAAGTGGTTTAGGGAAAACTACCCATGTCACAGGCTGCCTTTGCAAAAACCCGGAGTGGAAATCCATATATGGAAGACCAGGGGCAGGAACACTGCAGAGCTGTGGAGGGGGCAGAAACTTCAATGCAAAGGACCCAGGGCCTGGAGCCCCGTGCCTTAGGGTGAGAGGCTGAGACTTTGGGGGGGGGGACAAGTTCACAGGACAAGGAGGAGGCATGACAGAGAGGGAGGAAGTGATGCAGGATGGTGGAGAGTGCTGTTAGAGTGACTCCCCACCCCCTCCCAGATACTGGAGCTGTGGGTCATCTCAGTGTCATAGACACGTAGCTATGTGTCTCTCTACAGCATTGGCAGGGTGGAAGTATGAGTTGGAGGCTCTCTCTCTCTCTCTTTCTCTCTCTGTGTGTGTTTGTACGCGCATGCTCCTGCCCTGCTAGCAAGCTCCCCAAGATTGGCTGGCAGTTGGGCAGACGGAAGAGCAACTGGGCGGATCCAGCAAGGGTTCTGTTCTGTTGCAGGTTCTCAAGTCAGCAGAAAGGCTGAATAACCAAGGACATGTCTGTGAAACATGGTGTTGAGGTTACTTGACAACACCCAGAGAGAGAGAGAGAGAGAGAGAGAGACTGGGAGAGGGAGGGACTGTGACCTGCTCTGACCTGAACCAGCCCCAGGGTTCTTCTCACATTCTAACTCCAAGGCATATGAGCAAAGGGAGACCGAAAATTCTTTCAGCACAATTTCCAGAAAGGAACCCAGGGAGGATTAGGGACCAACTCTTAAACTCTATGAGTTATGTGTGAAAGAAGGTTGCAATAAGGGGGGATGAGGAAGAAGAAAAGAAAAATGGGGTAGAATGACTCAAAGGATTAGAGAGATGATCCGTTTGGATTGGAAGTATCACCCCAGCTTGGAACAAAACTGGCCTTCGCCCTTCCTGCTAGACAGGTGGGGGCAGTCTGGTTTCCGAACCCAGTCTTCTCTGTCTCTCTCGCACACACCTTGCTTTCTTCCCTTCTCTGTGAGCCCAGAGGCTGGGACCGATGCCCGGCTTCTCTGTTGAAATAAGAGGGCCTCCCTCTCATGGATAAGGCATTGCACGTCTTAGGGATGTGCAGAGATCCCCGGTCCAATCCATGACTGACCAAAGGTGGGTCACCTTTGGGTGACTCTCTAACCTGATCCTTGTCAGAGTCTGTGGATTTATTGGTCTACTTCAGGATCACCATGGAAAAAATCTATTCTCTCCAAGGGTGAAATGGAAACAGCCGTGGGCTGACCTAGCCAAGCAAAGTCCCTTCTGGTGGAACTCAGTCACCCACCCATTGCCACGTCACACCTTCAGTCCTAGCAGCGTAAACAGTTTAGTAAACTAAGCCAGAAAAGAAAGAAGCAAAGAAAATTCTAGAATGCAAATCCTCACCAGCAGCAGTGACACATGCCTTTCCCTTCATTCCATAATGACACCGCATGGCTGGTCAAGGAGCCGCCAAGGGATTTCTACACCTGGCAAGGAGTTCAGCGGTCGGCATGCCCAAGATCTTGGGTTTTATTTGGAGGGGAGGGTTGTTCAGCAGCCATTCACCTTCTCCGTGGGTGCCAACAGCTTCCGGACAACTGTGTTTATAAGGGTTTGATCACACCTGCCAAAAGCACTCCAGTTATACTGACTGGACAGTTATTTAGATTGTTTCATAATTTTTTGTTCAGACGAGGCATGGCCAATATTAATTCATTTGCCCTGGCCATCAGTTTATTTCTCCCTCGCCAGGAGGGTTGCTCTAAATCCTACCGATGATGTATCAGTTCATTCCTTATTGTTTCGGCATGTGTGAATGTTGCTGTTGATTTATTTCCTTTGCAAAGGGGTTGGGTTTCTGGGTGCTGTGGCCACCTTATGGCCACTGTGTTTGTACCCTTTAAAAATTGTTTTCTAAAAGGGATATTGATAAATCGATAAATAGTAGCTGCCGTTGTGACAAAACCAACATAAATACATTGCTCAGAAGGAGACAGCATCCCCCCCCACTTCCAGGTGAACTAGGGCTTCAGATTTCCTGCTTTGAATTGTAAAGAAAGGGAAAAGAAAAAAGGGAAAAGAAAAATGATACAAAAATGACTGAGAAATTTGCAAGGAAATAAGAAAAGGGGTGAGTGAGTAAAGAAAGAAGGGAAACGACAAGAGAAGAAGGGGACAAGGCTTGTACCACTTAATCAACATATCAGCATTGGTAATTTAAAGAAAGAAGGACAGAGGGGGGCTAATCGCCCCAAGAAACAGTAGAGAAAATGAATCGATACAAGATTAAAGAGCAGAGAAGCCTGCTATAATGGTTCAAATAGAAAGAAATGAACTGATACAGTTAAAAGCAATGTAAATGCTCCCTCCAATATATATATATATATATCATGTGACCTCAGAAAGAAAGTAACAGTAGAGCAGAGGGATGTAATGAATCAGTATAATTGGGGTTCATTTCTCCCATGTGATCAAGCCCTTCCTTTCCACTTTTACTTTCCTTCATGCAAATCACCCAGCATCTTGGAAGAAAGGCTTTCTAACCATATAATTGCTGAATGCAATGCAAAGAATCCATGAATGTGTCACTCCACTCATTGGGTAACCAGAACCTCTTTGCTCCTTGGTTGCTCCCCAAGTGTGCAAATGTCCACGGTTGGTTCATTTTTGTACATTGGTGTGAAGACAGTTCATATCTATGGTACTTCTGCAAACGTGTATCTTTTCCAGGCCTCCCATCTAGGGTTGTTCAAAATAAGGCGAACAGCCATACAAATATTGGGTAGAAAGTTTCCTGACAACATCCGCAGAGAAGTGAGTGAAGGAGTGAGGGGGCACAAAATTGGGTGGAATCACTAATACTTTGGAAGACAGGAACAGCATTCAAAAACATTTTAATAGGCTTGAGCACTGGGCCGAGAACAACAGAATGCAATTTAACAGAAAAAAGTGCAAACGCCTACACCTAGGGGGAAAAACCAAATGCATAGTTACAAGATGGGAGATGCTTGGCTCAGTAATATGAGTGAGAAGGAACTGTAGTAGATCAAAAGCTGAATATGAGCCAACAACAAGAACAGCATTCAAAAACATTTTAATGGGCTTGAGCACTGGGCCGAGAACAACAGAATGCAATTTAACAGAAAAAAGTGCAAACGCCTACACCTAGGGGGAAAAACCAAATGCATAGTTACAAGATGGGAGATGCTTGGCTCAGTAATATGAGTGAGAAGGAACTGTAGTAGATCAAAAGCTGAATATGAGCCAACAGTTGTGATGTGGCTGCAAAAAGAACTGAAGGGTGCCAGGACTAATTCCTCATTTTTTGCCTGTCTCTAACACATTAATCAATCAGCCAGAGACAGAGAGATCCAATAGATGTTTGTTTATTTTCAGCTGAAAGCAAGCAAAGAGGTGCAAACTTCATACGCAGAAAGCATGCAGAGAAGAAGCTCACTCAAGATACTGTACAAAAGTATACATTTTATAAGTTCACCATCAAACAAGGGAGGCAAAGGGGGTGTGAAGAAGGAGGGGGAAAGGAGGGGCTGCAGGTGCCTGGGCAACAGGCCATCCGTGTCTCTTATCAGTAACCAAGGACAAATTCCTAATTAGACTAGTTACTTGCAAACAATGGAATGCAGAGGGCCACCCTCCTTTGTCTATTCTTGTCTACTAAAACTTAATTTTCATGCAGCAAAGCAAGTTAGAGAAAGCAAGATAGCTACGATTAGGCTAAGATATATATATGAGATATATATCTTAGCCTAATCATAGTCATCTTGCTTTCTCTATATTGCAAGAAGGATGCTAATATATAAGATATATATCTTAGCCTAACCATAGTCATCCTGCTTTCTCTATATTGCAAGAAGGATGCTAACAAATTGGAACAAGTTCAGAATAGAGCAACAAGGATGATGATCAGGGGGCTGGAAACCAAGCCCTATGAGGGAAGACTGAAAAAACTGGGCATGTTTAGCCTGGAGAAAAGAAGACAAATCCTTGAAAGGCTGTCCTAAAGAGGAGAGGCAAGATCTGTACTCCATCATCCCAGAGTGGAGGACACTCAACAATGGGCTCAAGTTACAGGAAGCCAGATTTCGATTGAATGTCAGGAAAAACTTCTTAATTGTCAGAGCAGAACGACAGTGGAACCAGCTACCTTGGGAGTGGGTGAGCGCTCCAACCCTGGAGGCATTTAAGAGAAACTTAGACAATCACCTGGCAGATCTGCTTTGATTTGTATTCCTGCCTTGAGCAGGGGATTGGACTCGATGGCCTTAGAGGCCCCCTTCCAACTCCACGATTCTATGATTCTATAAAATAATGTGTAAACACAATAAATACAGTACAGAGCGGAACCCAGGGACAGATGAGTTCATCTCTTAGGGCTACAAAGCTGGTTAGTTGTGAACTGTATCTTCTTTAGGTAAAGGTAAAGGTTCCCCTTGACAATTTTTGTCCAGCCGTGTTCGACTCTAGGGGGCGGTGCTCATCCCCGTTTCCAAGCCATAGAGCCAGCGTTTGTCCGAAGACAGTTTCCGTGGTCACGTGGCCAGTGCGACTTAGACACGGAACGCTGTTACCTTCCCACCGAGGTGGTCCCTATTTATCTACTCTCATTTGCATGCTTTTGAACCGCTAGGTTGGCGGGATCTTCCTTAGTTGGGTGCAAAGCTGGTTCGGGGGGGGGGGAGGGAGCTTCTGGACCTCCCCATTTGCTGCATGAGAACCTTCCCCAAAGGTTTATTTCCATGGAATGATATTCTGTGCCCCGGCTTCCCTGGCAACACAAATCATCTCGGTGGAGAGACCCATCTGTAACCTGCAAGAAAATGCCAGCCCTGCAACACGCACAGCCTGGAGTCCAGGCCTAAGGGCTTCTGCTTGCCTTTATTAAGGTTTTCTTTAGCGGGGGTGGGGGAATTCAGCAGCAGTTGTCCCTGTGAGAATAGGTCCTTGTTTCCAGTACAAAGGAGGCAGGAAGGGACTTCCAGAATCCCCTCCTGCAGAGCCATAGCAGGAGGGGGAAGCTTCCGCCCAGGGTCCTCTGCAGCCACTCTCCAAGGTCCTAGTGGGGAGGCCAAAGGTGAGATCTTCCTCCCCTGCAAGCTGGTGAGTTTGGGGTGGACTGAGATTTGACTGTGCTGAAAGGAAGGGGGTGACAAGGGGATGTCCCACTCCTTTCTATTGCTCTTCCCCGCAGGAGATATTCGGCTACAGAACCCGGGGCTTCTGGAAGGCCCTGTGCCTGGCCGGGTACGTCCTCTCCTGCGGAGCCCTCTGGCTGGTGTTCTACTGGAAGCCGGAGTGGGGCGTCTGGGCGACCTGCCAGCCGTGCGACCTGGAGGAAGCCGACACCGTCCTGCTACGAACAACGGTAGGTGGCTTGCGTTTTTCCCATCGTCTTCCCTAAACGCTCATCCTAGAGGCGAGAGCGAAGGTCCTGTGGATTGATCTTCGGGTTCAGATCCCCACAGCTCACGTAGGAAGAATCTGCCCAGGCACAGAGAAAGTTGAGAATGGGCACCTGCCCAATTTATTTGTGCCTCTAATAGCTGCAGGTATTTCACAGTTTTCTTTCTTTGTTCAGAAATTTTGAACCATATTCTTCCTTGTTACTTCTATTTCCTTGGGACCACCAATTGCAATCATGGCTGTAATTTCCATGCTAAGTAGGAACAGCTGGCCTTTAAAAAAATCTGATATATTCTCTGAAGTGTGCCAGATTGGGGATGAGGCCTCAGAGGAATATATTTTAGACTCCGAGCTCACCATCATGTGTAAAGGAGTCTGTCCATTCTTGGGTAGATAAGACTAGAGCAATTAGCCTGACCCTAATTACTGAAAGTGCACCCTGTTTGGTGATTGTGGGGTTCTTCTTGAACAGGTGGTGGAAAGCAACCATTCCTGGCATCAGGAAAAGGCAGCTGTTGTGTTGCTCCGAGCCATGACAAGGGCAGCAATTTTTTTAATTTTTAATTTTTCTAAATTGCTTCCTGAAATGTTATTATCTGAACTGAGAACAACTTGGTGGACCTGCTGCTCTCATAAGAGCTGGGCTTTGCTCTTCCTTTCATGCCCTGATTTTGCAAAGTCTATAGGCGGATGGCTTTCACCCGTCAGAATCACCCCTTTGATTGACTGATTGATTGACTTCAGTCAAAGAACCCGCCTTGGGTTCTTTTTAAGAAGAAAGGCGGGATAGGAATATTTTAAACCAATAAATGAATAAATTCATTCCAATCCCAAAATTTCTCCCCCAAAGAAACCTAACCTCTAGTGGGAGCTGAATGTGGGGACTATAGAAAAGCTGGAACAGAACAAAATGGAGATTTCTTAGTAAAAGATGATGCCTAAAACAGAGGGATGTGCCAGACACACATCCAAACAATAATTTAGATCTTAAACCAAATGAACATTGTTTTTTCTGTAACGCAAAACCTGCACAATGACCTGGAAAGGCCACCTCCGACTATGATAACCCAATGAAATTCACAACGCGCATTGGGCTGGATAAGACAGATGCAGAAAAGTGCAAATCATCTGCAGAAACAACAGTTCTGGTAGCCATTCCAGGCAGAAAGTCAATATTGTGGAAAACAGCCTGGAAGAGAGACCTCCGAGTCAGACAGCCCAACTTAAGTTTATTTTATTTATTTATTTTATTTATATCCCGCCTATCTGGTCGGTTAAGACCACTCTAGGCGGCTTACAGCAAAAAACACACAGAAATGTATATAAAAACAGTTACTACATAGTAAAACACATTTCACAAGATGGGAGCAAACAATGGGAAGAGGAAGGGAAAAAAGCATCAGGGATTGACTGGAGGGAAGGCCTGCCGAAACATCCATGTTTTTAATTGATTCTTAAAAATACCCAGTGAGGGAGCCACGTGAATCTCCGGAGGTAGGTTGTTCCAGAGGCGAGGAGCCACCGCCGAGAAGGCCCGATTTCTTGTCTTTTCCTTTCGGGCCTCCCTCGGCGTTAGGCTCCTCAGCCTCACCTCCTGCCTCGCGCGAGTGACACAGGTAGAACTTGGTGGAAGTACGCGTTCCGCCAAGTATCGAGCATCAACACTTTGAAGTCGATGCGGAATCGGATGGGCAGCCAATGCAGTGCAGCCAGAGTGGGTGAAACATGTTGGAATTTTTTCACACCACTGAGGAGTCTGGCCGCAGCATTCTGCACCACCTGTAGTTTCCGCAGCAGCCTCAAAGGCAGCCCCACGTAGAGCGCATTACAGTGGTCTAATCTTGAGATTACGAGCGCATGTACCAAGGTAGTGAGCGCCCCAACATTGAGATAGGACTGCAGCTGGGCTATCCACTGAAGATGAAAAAAGGCGGTACGGGCCACTGACGCCACCTGAGTTTCCATAGTGAGCGCTAGCCTCAAAGGAAGCCCCACGTAGAGCGTGTTACAGTGGTCTAATCTTGAGATTACGAGCGCATGCACCAAGGTAGTGAGCGCCCCAACATCAAGCTAGGACCGCAGCTGGGCTATCCAGCTGTGGCCAGACCCATCCCGCTGGAGCAGAGTTGTGGAGTGAAGAGATGTGAATGGGCACTGGTGTGCTGTTCCTGGGGGGCGTTTTATGGTTGGTTGCATCCTTTCTCTCTCCAGCTGGTGAATTTGGTTGGGCTGGCCAACCTGAAAGTTGCTTTTATGGGCTGATTTTCACAAGACTTACGTTCTGCCTGGAACAGGTCTTGGGATGCTCTTCCTGGGGGGCATTTTGTGGCCAGTTAGTTGCGTCACATCCCTCTAGCTCAGGGGTCTCCAAACTATGGCCCACGGGACAACCCATCTGCCCCCCTTGCTGTTTTATCCAGCCCATTCCCTTAACCCCAAGCACATGTGGGGGGTGTGGGTGGGCAGGGGTGGGGGGATGTGTGCGTCTGGCAGGAGCATGTTCGTGGGGGAGGGGTGCGCACGCACACATCTACATGTACATGTGTGTGCACATTCCTGTTCCTTCACGCCTGTAAGATCTTGAAAGCATCCGGTGTGGCCCTCAGGGTAAAAAGTTTGGAGACCCCTGCTCTAGCTGGATAGGTCAGGTCAATTTGGTTGGAATGGATTATGATGATGACGATGATGATGACGATGATGATGATGACGATGATGATGATAATGATGCATTTCTCCCAAAAACGGACCTAACGTGGCTCACAACATTAAAATTCACACAATTAAAAACACGAAAAGTTAAATATTAAAAGATATATTAAGCAATATATGATTTAAAATACAATTAAAAGATTAAACATGAATGTATGAAAAAGATTAAAATTACCTGCTAAAATCGGGTTCAGGGATTCAGTTATAATTGTTAAAAACCTGCCTGAAGAGATGGGTCTTTAGGGTTTTTTTTTTTTTTTGGATGATCTCAATTGCTGAGAAGGCCCATATAGGGAGATACGGTCCTTCAAGTAGCCTGGACCCAAGCTGTAGAGGGCTTTAAAGACCAGCACATTGAATTGGGCCCGGAAACGGACCGGTAGCCAGTGCAGTTCTTGTAATAGGCACCTTATAGGCTCCCTTATAGCTGGCCCCAGTCAGCAGTCTGGCTGCAGAGTTTTGCACCAGCTGAAGTTTCCAAGGCAGCCCCACATAGAGCGCGTTGCAGTCATCCAAATGGGGTGGAACTAAGGCATGCGTCACTGTAGCCAGATCTGACATCTCAAGGAACGGGCGCAGCTGGCACACCAGCTTTAGCTGTGCAAGTGCACTCCTGGCCACTGCCGAGACTTGGGCATCCAAGCTTAGGGATGAATCCAGGAGTGCACCCAAGCGGCGGGCCTGAGTTTTCAGGGGGGGTGTAACCCCATCCAGCACAGGTAGCGCTGAGTACAGTGTGACTACTTTGTTCTGGGCTGTTTTTTGCAACGTGTGTGCGCGTGTGTGTGTTATGTGTTTGGTTGGGTTAGCATACTCAGACGTTGCTGCTCCGGGCCATTGTGTTCCTTTCTGGTGGGTTTGGGAGGTATTCATTGGACCTGATATCCAAAATACGTATTGCTTAGATGTCTGTCCAGCATATCCCACTGTTTTTGGCACCAATTTCTCTTAAGAAGTCCCTGTTCCGTCATGTTGTGTTGCATTCTGACTTTGATCTAGTCTCCTGAATGCGTCAAGTGTGGGCAGAACAGTTAAGGCTGAAGTTCTTCAGACCTTGGCAGATCTCAAACTGGCCAGGGTACTTCCACAAGACCTGCTAATTGCGAAAGACTAGAAGATGTACGTAGGGCCCTACCTGATCTGCAGGTGGGGGAGGCTTGCCTTCTTACCTTGAGGACCTTTCCTTTTAAAATTTGGGTGTTGGCATCCATTTTCCATGGACATGCCATCCATCAAGGGACTTGTCACCTCGTGAGAGTCCAGCCTGCATGGAGAACTGGGTTACCTGGAAGTCACTTAATGGCGTACAGAGTGGAGTCGGCAGAACCAGAGCAGAACCAAAACAGGAGTTTTCTCATCAACACAGTCCTTTGTGGGCGTGAAGGAGAACAGGGCACAGCAAGTGGCTTCCACGTCCCTCAACATGCACCCTGGAAGACTCCATGCTAGCAGCCCTCAAACGCTCCTGATGTTGCAAAATTAATTGTACTGTAGCAGACATGAGTAAAGAAGAAATCAGGAGAACAACTCATAGGATTTTGTGAAGTCAACCATTTATCTATTGCAACCACCTGCTTCCAGCCACCTAGCTGGACGTCCATGACCATGTATTTTTTGAGGGAGGAGGGGGCTGCCAGGCCATGGAGCGGGCGGCTCTCCTGGCCGGAGGTGTTCTGTAGGGCAGGGTGGGTGGGTGGGATGCTCTGGCCTTTTATATTCTTTCACCTGTCTCAGGGCCGATTTCTGCTGTCTTCTTTCTGCAGGATGAATTTCAGATTTACACCCAGAAGAGGGTGACCTGGATTTCTCTGTCGGCTTTGATCCCTGCGGATTCCAGCCATCCTCTGACGGCTGACGAATGTTCTCTCCTGAATAAAGTCATAATGAAACCAGAGTTGAAAGTGAGTGGAAGTTCAAAAGCTGCTGAGCGGGAGGGGGGAAAGTGGGAAGCTGGGTGGGTGCCCCTCCTCCAGGGCTATGGGCTAAGGGCCGGACCATTGGGTTCTTCACCCCTGGCCCGCTGGGCGGGAGGCTGGGTGGGGGAGTCCTCACGGCTCATTTTCAGTTTGCCCAGAGCCTCTTGTTGGTGGGAAGGTGGCCAGCCCCGATTGCTCGGCAGGTGGACTCGAGGCCTGGATGCCCGGGGCTCAAAGGCTGGAACTGGAGCGCCACCTGGTTGGGACTTACCCTGCTGCAGAGAGAAATCCAGGTGTACCTGAGAAAAAAACACGTGGGGCAGAAGAAATGGGGGGCATCTCTTTGTGACTGGAGGTTGCTCTAGGACAGGTCTTCACTTCACTTCCAGCCATGGCTTTAAAAGGACGCGGCCAGTAGAACAATCATTCATGCTTACGCCTTGCGTGGTGACGGTGACGTGGGGCGGCAACAGGATGGGGAGAAACAGGTGGGCCTCTGGCCTGTACCCACGATTTGAATGTGCTCTTTTAAGAGACATCTGGCGTCAGCCACGAGGGCAGGAGACTTTGCAAAAGGCCATCATCCACTTCAAAGCCTCTTCCTCCTTCCGCTGGCTCTGACGTTCTTGAATGGAGAGTGGTAGGCAAGTCTGTGGAATGACCCATTATTGAGAAGCAGCTGCATAAAATCCGAAGCATTTTTAGAGGCAACCTGCCCGGCCACTCCGGCCACACCTTCCCTCCCTCCCCTCCCCCCACCTCCCCCATTGGGAGCCTTCCTTGCCCTTGCTCCTTCCTGGCTCTGCCCTGCTG